TTGAAGCTAATAAGGTCTCAACTCCTGTAGACGACAGTCAATGGGAACAATGTGGTGCCTTGCAGAAGCAGGTGAAGAGTTCTCAGTTCAAAAAGAATCGGAATCTTCGCTTGGCGAGCGAAGAAGCAGTTTCTGGAGTAGGAGATGTGGAAACTGTCGGAGAGCACGGCCTCTATTATCGAAGAGAAGAACGTCCTTTTGAATAACTTGAAAGTTCTGAAAACGCAACTTTGCCTTACCATTAATGCTAGTGTCCAGGGCTCAAGGTTAAAATAGCGTTGACCTAATGTTGAAAACTAGCAATGTATCCTAATTTCAATTTGTTCCTTGCCTGTTTTTGAACTATACTAGCACTGCCTAATGCTCCTGCTAACAACCTTCACCTCCCAATCCACACTATCACAGGACTTGATACTATAACAGGAAAAAGAGTTGAGCAAGCTGCGCTCCAAGCCAACTATTCCAGCAAGACGGAGACCTGCGCGTTCTCGCCCGCATTCAAGAGTCATGAGATGGCCTCTAGTCTGGTAACTGCCGCCTCTCACTTGCTCGGCACTCGGATTACAGACTATACCACGAAGTCTTACAGTTCGCAGCTACCGCCAGGTGTCGCGGCTGCGTCAATCGCTGTCGGAGCCCACAGCTGCTCTTCTGCAAATGGATTACCTTTAACGCATCATTGCCTTTTCATTTTTTTTTTTTCATTTCATTTCGATGATTTGTTCATTTCCAGGAACAACCTGGAAATGAATTGTTCCTGGAATTCACCGTCTTGGCGTACGGCCAAACGGCATCCGGTAAGACTTGTACGATGGCCGGGGACGGAGCGGCAGCGTGCTGAAGATGGAATTATTCCCAGGGCCCTGAAATTATTAAAGGCCATTGGCCCTGGGAATCTTCAAGGCCATTGAGGAGCGGCCTCATCTCCTTCTCATTTGTTGAGGCAAGTCATTCATTGCTTGTGTCCATGTAATATTCTCACTATTTGTGCGTGTTTTTTTTATCTATTTTATTTATATGATGGATTTTTGTTGATGAAAAAAAAAGCATTATGGGCCAATAAAAATGTTGTGTCATACGTATTATTTGTGACTGATTGTTTAAAGTTGCATATGTTTAAATGATTTATTTAAACATTAATAAATGTTTATTTATCTTCCCTTCTGCCAGCAGACTATTTCCTTTCCTCAGATGGCAACTTTTTCCGCTAGGACTTGATAATATATAAAGCTCATAATTACTATAATGTGGAAAATTAATGTTAATAGTATTCACAATTCTTATGTGTTTGCAGTTCTATCATGAGAGAAAGCAAGATCTACTTGCGACGACTGTAGTCAGGAGGCACCTTGCGAGTCAGGAGGCATCCTTCATCCTGAAGGATGGGGAATCGTCCCAAGAACCTTGAAGGACCTTTTCAAGGCCATTAAGGAGGGTCAGAAAAAATATTTGCATGCCATCACATGCTCATTTGTTGAGGCAAGGCATTCATTGCTAATTTGCAATAATAAATCCAATGGGATTTTATCATATATAAAGCTCATAAATATGGAAAGTTAAGGTTTTTGTATTCACAATCTCCTACTAGAAAAAAGTAGCTGCTCTCATTCCGTCTGCCCTTGGCGGCTTTTTCGTATGCATAGTTGCATACTAGCGTACGGGCCGCCCGGGCCGGGGATGACGTAGGTATACCATGGAGGAGGGGAGCGGGATGGCGGTGGAATCATTCAATGAGCAGAGATGGCTATCTTCGCGGAGTTTCGCAGGCTGAGCTGGCAGTACACCCTCGAGCCGAGTATGGTTGGAAGTATATCAACTTTATCAAGATCGGGTTCGCGACCTCAGTTTCCCCGACGAAGAAGGAACTAGTAAGTCCCGACGCCCGTTCTGCCCACACCCACGGGGCCTTGAAGAAGTCTTAAAAATGATTCACACAGCGAGAAGACATCGCGCCGTTGCCGTTACGAAGAGGAATTCTTATAGTTCCGGCTCACACAAGGTGTCAGTCCATCCTAATGCCCAGTCCCGCTATAGCCTCGTCGGGCTATAGCGGGACTCCGATCCAAGGACTCCCCTTGGGTTGACTTGGCGGGTTGTGAGCGACGAAAAATCTCGGGCTTAGAAAAGGTGCGACTCGACGAATGTAACAAAATAAATATGAGCAATGGTTATCTCCGCCTCTTCATCGAGGCTATTAAAAATAAAAAACGTGATGTGCCATATAACAAAAAACTCAATTCGAAAGTTTATACAGCCAATATTTGGATAAAGTCTAAAATTTGCAAGCTGCATGCGATTTACAAGGAGATGAGTGTCAGCAAAGAGCGCCAAGACTTCCGAACTTGGCAGAGATCTTCTAAAGATGGAGTTTCTTAGGGAGATCCTCTCGAGTGATTTAATAGAGCATAAGGGGATCGTACTGATTTTTTGCCGGATAAAGCCCCTGCCGTACCCGGTCATTCACAGAGTTACGTAGGTTTCCCATTCATCATTAGAGATGATCGACTGGAAAAAAGGGGGCAGACAGCCGCTCTTATAGATTCAACTATGACCACATCTAGGGGCCAGGAAACACTCGGGCTGACGCGAGTTTTGCTGTTGTCTGGACAACTGGTATGATTTGACGGAACTGAATACCTGCATTCTGTCTGGTAGTCTTGGTGTTGTCAACAGGACAACAGACAGATATAAACATCCATTTGCGTGTCCCAGCTGTTGCACTATCGCATGAAATAACAGCTTTTGTAATTGACGGTGTCCTTAAAAATCTTATCTCACCAATCAGATCATTCACGAAGTATCGTATCTGGTTCAGAGTCAGACCTTGACGGCGTCAACGTATGCGTACGGGCTAGCCTTGTCAGGAATTGTATATAGTCCTAAACTATGGAGGGGGGAGCGGGGTTGACGCTGGCATCGTCCCACGAACCATGAATGTTATCTTCGACGAGAAACGAAGGCTGGTAGAGCAGGTGACTTGCTGCCGAATTTCTAGTCTTTTGCAAGAGGTCGTAACAGTAGCTTCAAATCAAGTCAGGGGCGGAGTGCAATTAAATGGTAGCGCGCCTCGAGAAGGCTAAGAAGATTAATAACCTGACTGTAAAAGCTACCTCCACCTATGCATCGAGACTATTGCAAAGTGGAGCGCCGACTTTAGTTTGCTTGAAATATTAGAAGTTATGGCTGGAACACCGGGCCTTTCTAGCAAGACAATTCAGAGCATTAGCAACATATTGTGGGCAACTAAACCCTGAGCTCCAACGCCTAAAACGTTTCAGGCAGCGGGTTCATCTGCGCCTAGTTAATTTAAGCACTGGACGAAATTATTCGCGCACTGATTTGCATTAGTCAAACTAATCTTAAATTGTTCTGAGTATTCTTTGGAGAATTGTACCACGCATATTCAGAACCATATTCATGGATATTTATACCATTTAAACTACGCATTAGTATGAATTATTGAACATTCAACAGTACTTTAGCTTGGTATCTAATAAATTTCTGCAGTCTTGTCTCCACGATTTGCAAACCACCTGAATAATGAATAGTTAACTATACACGGCCATGACACGATGTCCGGTTCGAGACGCGCGTGAAATTTCGCCGTTGTGGCTGGTGCCGGGCACATTTATCGACGCACGCGACTCAGAATCGAGTCGACGCACTCGATTCGTGACTTCATTAAAGGATTCCGATTGAAATGCTACTTCCACTTCACATGTACTATAATCACCAGAATATTTCTAGTTACTGCTGGCCTGCGCGTGGCCCGCGTGCTACATCCGTTCTCCACGTCCTCGGTCCGAGAAATTACCATCTGGAATATCCGCATCCTTGTTAGGTGATGCAAAGGTCTCGATACATAGTACAAGATGAGGTACCGTACCTCTTGGGCAGATTACCGACAACAGGCTTAATCCGCGGCCGATTGGTGGTTATACGGTAATATGTTAGGCGCTCCATTCAGGGCTGATTGGAGCACACACTCGGTGGTGCATGGCAGTAATATCTCAACGAAGCGATGAAGAACGAGCGAACCGCGCTACACGGAATAGCTGTTGTTTACAGCAATAACAAGCTGTCAGTGGTAGGTGAACAGGATGTTACTCAACTGTGCTTATCAGCTGTGCTGTCCAGAAGCTTAAGTTGGCCTAAATCTTCATATTAAGATTAAAATAACTAGTATAAAATAACTACTACTTGACTTCCGACCAAGATCACTTTTCTATCAAAATGAAGAATTTTCGACATTTCAATGGAGGGATTTACAACTTTCCTCGCCCTTCGGTGCAATTTCGACGTTTCATATTCACTGTGGCTGGTGCTACGTGAAATGGCGGAATTCTAATTTGATGTAAAAAAAATCTGATGCAAATTTGCCTCAATGTTGGACAGAGTCTTAAATAAATGAAGCTAGGCGGCGGCTTAATTAAGGTCGTGCTAGCACGGCTTCAAGCCGTCGACTCAGATATGCCACCTACAATCTGGAGGACCTAAGAACTACATTCGGGAGGCTCACAATGAGACCATCACCCGAGCGACATTGGAGACCTGCACCAGCATAGTTATGCGGTGCCCCGACCCATCGAGACTGGCGATAGTTGAGGCCATCATTATCAAGAGCGAGTCTCCAGCCATCAACCTCCAAACTACAGGATTCGTCCGGACGCTGAAATTATTTTCAGAGTAATTTTAAGCGTATATTTCAAATTGTATTCACTATACCATTGATTTGTACTACTGTCATTTCCAAAGTTAAATTTTAAGTGTTGCAAAACTTTCAGCTGCTTGATAATGAAAATTGTATTTTCGAAAGGTCGCAATCCATTAAAATGTCATTTGGTAATCTGCTTTTTTATCTCCCGGCGCCAACTAGAAATTTTATTGCACTCATTGAAAAAACGAATAAGAAGATTATTAATAAAAAGCATGCTCTGGTCTTCAATCATACTTGCACATATATATTATTTTTTTTTTTTGCTAAAGACCCTTTTCCTCACCTGAAGTGTGTGTTAAAGCGGCCGCTGTGGCTGAATTCATCGCAGCTGCAAACAACAGCAGCGACAATAGCCATTGGCGATTACGAATATCCTGCGGAAACAAATGACACTCAATAGTAAATACCTAACACGTGCCAGACCACGGTCACGATCCTGACTCGGGGTATAGAATAACCTCATTTATAATGGAAGTCTTCTTAAGCTTTCGCAATAATTATGTTGCGTCGTTTGAATTGCAATCAGTTGATTCATATCTGAAAATATTGTGCGTGGATCAATTGACATGCGATTGCTGGATATCATTGACTGGATCTCGAACTTACCTTCATGAAATTCCAACGATACAACACGAACTGATTTAGCGATTTATTTATTTTTTTAAGCATGCCTAAAAAGGCAAGATTATAAAACCGATCGCCTTTTAAGTTAAACTAATTTAATTTATTCAATTTAAGATCAAGTATCACAAAAACGTTTGGTACAGGAGGATCGCACAGGTTTACACGTGAAATGAACAAGTGAATATTAAGCACTTCTAGAGCGGGTGGAAGTCGTGAGCGCTTTGCCCGGCGGGAAAGACGTTGGAGGAGCAGCACCTCGACGAAACTGAAGATAAAGTGTCTTGCTCAGCTGTATTTACATGCATTTATTTGTAGCTAATCTGCTGCTGCTGAACCCTGCAGCCGGTGTTTGATGATGGAGGTGATCTCCGAAATATTTTCGATGCCGATGTGGTCAACTTATTTGCCAGTTTCTTAGTTTTCAAACAAAATGTATAAAATGAAACAACGAGAGGCATGCAATATGAGCGAAAAAATATCTGTATTTTTTTTTAAATAGTAACGACAATCAATGCGAGCAATTAGCCATTCAACAAAACATGCCAATGCTAAACCCAATCTGCGATAGCCAGACAGGGTGAGTGTGTTTTAAAAGCTTTTCCTGTGTTCTGTTAAGAATGATTAATCGAATTAGGATGTTCTTAAGTAGTAAAGCCATTAACTTACCTTGATAAGAATCTTATCATTGATAACAATGATAAGTGACTCAAAAAATATATTACAAGGAATCAGTGCTTGCATATATTTGTATTTAAATTTCTAGTTAATTATCAATAACAAATGATTCATGCAACATTTGCGGTTAATGTTCATTTTTCTTTTTAATCTGCCCATAATAATCGTAGTATTCGGATACTTCCGGAATTTGTTCTTGATATCTTGTGTTTTTAACCAAAAAGTTTTCAACCTGCACGTTTCACGATCAAAATATTTTGATATTTCCTTGTGCCCTTATCTTCTAGATTCCTAAAAAATTTTAATTCTCTCTACATTATTAGGTATTTCCGACCGCAAGTTCGCGTTTTTTTTAATTATTTAGAGCACTTTTAAAATTCGAACTACTATTGATTTGACGGCCCAACGAAAATTTCATCTATTAGCGTTGGTACAGTAGCAAAACAGTATACTTGTACTGTGTTATAATAATTTTCGCATTCATCAATATAAATTGAGCAAATATTACTTGGCGTACATGTCTAGTATTAATGGTACGCTGTAACTGTGCAAAAACTTTCAACGACAGTACACTTCTACTGTGTGATAAAATTTTCGCATTCATCAATATAAATTGAGCAAATATTTCTTGGCGTACATGTCTAGTATTAATGGTACGCCGTAACTGTGCAAAAACTTTCAACGGCAGTCAGTAATGAATTTTTTTAGAACACTTCCTTTAGCGCGTTTAGGTGGCACACATACAAACTACTAATCAATACCCGAACATGAATCAATTTGTGTACTGAGCTATGTTAAATTATTTACATTGAAATCGAAATCAATACTCGACTTTTATTTCCAACAATTAAACACAATTTTTCATTTGATAAGGTAAAAA